ATTTTAAATGAAAGGTGAGAAGATCTGTGATTTTAATTTGTACATATAGTCGTGGTTGTGAGGAACTTTTGCATCTCTTGCATACTAGTTTTGCACTGCTTGCAGAAAGCTGCAGTGCTGATGGAGATATTGATCCTGCCTTCTTTCAGTACCTTTAGTTTTCATGATTCCCATCTGTAGTGATGGGTCCAGATAGCCAGCACTGAATGAGGGAAGATGAAAGAAAAAAAGCTAGAAGAGCAGAGAAGACAAAACAATTTTGATAAGATTGCTAGTCAATATATTCTCAATGACAATAGGTGATATCAAAAGAAACTGATTTCATTCTATAATGAGATTACAGGTTTGATAAGAAAAAGTAATTGCACAAAACCAATTTAATCTTATTTTCTAAGACTTCAAACTACCATATAATCTGATAAGGAAATAATCACCATAATATATCAATAAAAGGCTTTAGGGGGCTGGGTTCCAGCTGGGTTAGGGTGTGTGCAGTAGCATTACCTCATCACTGTCAGATGATGGAGTATGGATGCCCCACTGGGCGGTGGTCATGTGAATTGAGAACAGGCAAATGAGAGAAAGTAGTGTTTTCTGTGAAGAATCGATGTGTAGCAGGGTAATGCTGGTGGCATTCAACAGGAACTGACAGCAAACCTGTCATGATTCAATGCTTGACAGTGATCCAGAAGTAAATATGCAGACTCCGCACAGCAATGATACAAAGATTAGTCAAATATCATTAATGACAAAAACAAAATGGTCCCCAGGAAAGTGCCATGAATATGATTTAGAGCTGGGGGAGAGAGGAAGGAGGAATACCTTAACCAGTGAGAAGAATACTTTCTCTGTTTAGATTAAAGAAGATTCAGAGGTAACTTGATTACAGTACATAAGTACCTTCATAGGAAGAAAATATGGGATAGTGAAAGCTTTAGCAGAGAAATATGAAGCAGTGACTGGAAGCTGAAACCACAAAGAGTCAAAGTAGACATCAGATACAATTTTAAACAGTGATTTTGGTGGGCCATTGGAACACTATACCAGAGGTATCCGTGCATCTTTCCTCACCTGATCTCTTTCATCTGGATGTGAATGTGAAAACACACTTTGGCAGGTCCATGTATCATACATAGTGTGTCTGCAGTCTAGCTAATAGTGGTAACGGTAGGAGCAAAGGGGTGACAGTCCAGATTTCAACATGGGCTGCAGAAGTCTGGTAAGAAACCTGGGGATGTGCTTGAGTTGTTAGCTCCCACAGAAGTCCCTAGCAGTGCATCTAGGTGCTGCAGATTAAACATTGGCTATGACTCCCTCACTGCACCCTTGCCTTTATTCTGCTGTGTATCCACACGGGAGGAGATAAAGGTGAAAAAGAAAAGGAATACCTAAGTTGAGGAGTAACTTTAAAATAACACTAGGGAACTCAAGCTTGAAGCTTTGTGTAGGGAATCAAGAATGGGAGCATTGTATTGAAGTTGGAAGAAAGATAATTTTAACAGTAATATTTCATAAGCACTATAGGGAGATATTATCAGAGGCCAATGAAAGGCATTTGCAGTAGGCAAGTGAGAGAATGAGAAATGTGATGCTTAATCCAAGGGAAAGCAGATCTTTGAAATTCTGTGAAAAAGGAAATGGGAAAAACTTTTTTCAAAAAAACCAACCAGCATAGCATGTAAATGACAAACTCATTTTCCTTTCATCCTGAAAGAAAGCCACATTCTCCTCCCTCCCACTTCCAAACTTAGAACACTTAAAACACTATAAATGGCCCAGTCAGGAATAATTGAGGCTACAGCTCAGTTTCATCATCCTAGTTGTTGCTCGGCATCACTCTTGGCACTGCAGATGTCATCTGTGGGGTTTGAATCCCATAGAGGTGACTAGAGTTTGGTCTGATTTTACCTTTTGTTTCAATGATCATAAAGATAGGAGGATTTTAAAAACAGGATCTGGATCCCTGTTGAGGTTTTTAATACCTCCTATTCTGAGGTCACTCGGACTGAGGATTTCTGCTTAGGCCTACCTGATACATTTTTATAGATATTCAAAAGCCTGTAATAGCACACACAAAGGTTATATTAATTTCCAGTGCCTAAATCCCTTAAGCGCTTTGGAGATTTCCCTGCTAATCCTCTTTTTAATGCATAAACCTAGAAGGTAGGTGTGGGGCCTTTGGGATTTATTATTTGTATTCATTGTTTTCCAAGAGAGGAATCTTTCAGGGGTAACAACAGTAAGTGCTAAATACACCAACACACAGGAAGTTTATATGCTGTTTACATTATCACAGTAATCTGCTAGTCTTTTTTTGGCAAATGAAGGAAAAGAAAGTGTGACTATTATTAGTAATTACACTACTTACACTAATTTTAAACACTTACTAATATTAAATTTATGTGAAAATATTAAGTCCTGACTGAACAACTTAAATCCTTTTTTTTTCCCAAGGGCAAAATAACTGTATTAATATTAATGAAGCCACAAAGTAGAAGTTAACTGACAGCATTTTTGCAGTTGCTGTATTTTATTACTGAAACTTTATTATATTTTTCATATCTGAACATAAAAAATGAATAAAACTATCATAAACTGCTCTTTGTTGTAAGTGACATGCCTTTTCTTTATGATGCATGCTTTGCCATAAAAAGGGAGCGCTTAATGCATTTCTGTTGGGAGATGCCTATTTATTCTGACAAACCGATCAGCCTCCGGGATGTTCTTTTGCCACAGAGCTGATTTTACATCTCATCCATTATCTAATAAGATGTGAAAAGAGTGTCCTGTCTCACCAAAAAAATCAGGCTTTGTTTCATTACAAGGATGTGGCAGACTCACTCATGGGCTCACTTGCAGGATATACAATTGTTAGTGAAAGGCCCAGTTATACACTCATGCATGTTCCTAGTACAGCAAGCCAATGGGGAAAACATTGGTAATGTTGGTCCTGAGGATTTTTATTTTAAAGGTAAGTATAAAAAGTGGCCTCTATAATGAGAAAATGCATTTCACAACTTTAAATAATATGGCATGAGTTTATGAATTTGATTATTATAATAAATAGCACCGTCACGTCAACTACATTGTGAGGCCAGAATGTCTTTTCAAAATATATGCCCTGAGGAATTTTTTTCTTCTTCAGTAATTCCCCATTTTCAATGTTTATGAAAGGTTTAAAATTGCACTTGTATGGAAAAAGTGAGAGAGACTGAAGTGAGGAAAGCAAGCTGAGGTGTTGTGTGATAAGGCAGTGATAATGCAAGTGTATACAAAACCCTTTCAGACAACTGTTTTCAAGCAGATGTGGTCACAAGGAGATAAAGTCACAAAGGAAACAGAAAAGACACACAGTAAGAAATACAGTTAAACCTGCCCAGAAACTTAATTGCAAGCCTTTGAGATACTAGGTATCCAGACAGAGAGTACCTCTCCATATGTGTTTGAACGGTGTTCAACATGGCTGAAACTTTTAATCAGTAATGCAGTTGAATTTGCTTTTGTATTTAAATGACGCTCTGTTACACTAATGCAGCCTCTCATACAACATACCTTGCTAAAGTGCCTCCATTGTCAAGCTGTTTGCTAACAAGCACAAGTGTATTAACAAATCAGTGTTAGTGGAAGTAAAATAAAACATTTTAAATCATCGACAAAATACTGGAGAGAAGTGACAAGACAGCAAACAAGCGATTAGGTTTGATACCTCTGGAAGTTAGAACACTCACTGCGCTCCTCTGCTCCACATTTCCCTGACTTTCTGAATAACAGGATCAATCCTTTTGGACCTGCACAATGCCTCTTTTCATAGAAGTGCAGTTTCTTTAGCATGACAATGAAATATGATTTTCAGTGCTTCTTAAGAAAGTGACAATACAGCTTGAAAGAGTTCAAAATGAAATTGCAAAAGCTGGAATTTATGGCAGACAAATGTTCTAGTGTCATGTCCTCCTGATATCCTTTATTCATTGCATGTGAATGCAGCTCTATATCTAAAAATCAAGGCTGTTTTATCAGTCTTATAATGCCAGTCAGAATGGCTTACCACTGAGAGATCTTTCAGAGTCTGGAATTGCATCAAGACAGCACAGCTTTAAAACAGCATAAGAGACCCATTTTACATTATTGACTTTCCCCCTTACCTGCAAGGACACAGAATTTAATGCAGCTTTGATGGGTCAAAGATTTTGACACATGTCAAGACAGATATGTTCATTTTAGAGTTTAAAAAAAAGGCATCCAACTTGATACATATGAACCAGTTTAGGTGGCAGAGGCAGCTCAGACTGAGGTTAGGGACAATTGTTTTACTCATCTGCAAAAGACATTAGTTTTGAATGAAGCCTCATGTAAAGAACAATGTAATTTAAGGAAGATGAAAGCAAAACAATTGCTAGAAATGCAATAAGGGTCTAGAGGTAGTCCCTGAAAGCCCATGCTAACTAACCTATCACTGCGTTCTTTCTATGGATTTTTTTAAACCATTCTATAAAAGTCCATGGTAAGGATACAATTTTCTAGAAAATGCTATTTCATATGACCTATATAAAGTGATCATTCTCTAGTAAAGTCACCAATAGTTGTCCATAGAGAATTCATGTGATTCAGAACTATGAACAGACTATTTCCATTAGCAAACACCATAAAGCAGAACTGCTTGTTTCAGCCAGTGGCCTTCTTGTATAAACAGATTTCACTGTAGGAGAAACACACCCAGAAGTATCTAGTATGACTTTATGTCCCTAAATGGACCATATAGCAAAATCTCATTTTTAATAATGGCATTTATGTTACTTCACTGAGGAAATGTGTAATAATAACAGCAAAATTTTTGTGTTAATGATCAGTGTATAATAAGATGCACAATTAGGAGGATTATGGGAATTTAATGGGATGAGAAGGGCAAGAGATCATCTGCTGTATGACTCTTCATGATTGTAACCTGCTGTCTGTGTCCCTAATGTGTTTTTATGACTTGTGTGCTTTGGTTTGTTTTCCAGTTTGTGTTCTGCCGTGAATGTAAAGAAGAATACCATGAAGGGGAATGCAGCTCTCTCCTCAGCACGCAGGGAGCCACGGCCCAGAAGGTAGGCATCCCACAACTCATTACATCCTGATCATTATCCCTGGCTCAGCTAGAGCGACATTTGTCAAATGGTTCCTAATTATAATCCTAAGTAAAAGCAATTATGTTCATGCTGAATTATTCCAGCCGTCAGAATTGCCGAATTGGCTTTGCAGTGGATTTCAGTTGCTTTGATTGATAGAGTAGCGAAGTTCTGTCAGGAACACACAGGGCTTTACCATCAGTTGCTAAAGAAAAGGCGTTCCCAATGGGCTTTGGGGGTTGTCTCTATTCAATGTGAACACTTTTGAAAGGCTTTCTGTAGTCTTGCTGCCTTTCAGCTTATTTCCAGTGCACCCATCAGGAAATCATGTGGATTTGGATTGAACAACAGGGGTTTTATACAGCCTATGGAGAAAATGCTGTCGATAATTTATGTTTAACTTAGAGAAATAAAAAATGGATTGCCTAGGCTGGAAGCTCTTAGATGATAATTATTATTAGGCTGCTCTGTAATTTTGTAGCTATTGTAGCTATAGACCTGGACAGAAAATAGTTTTTCAATCCTGACGTTTCTCTTTGCCCTGCTCTTCATGGCAAATAAATCATAGTCTTTTCAATTAAAAAAAAAATAATAATAAAAAAAAGAGACAAGAGGAAAGGTGCAAAGAACAGGAGAGATACCCCCTAAATATCTCACAGCTTGGTGCCCAGGGTGCTCTCCTAGGAAGCAGAAAACTGACACTCAGATGTCTGGCATGTTTAATGCCAGAAAGAAACTCCGACCCTGAGCTCCCACAGAGTCCAACATGGCAGATGCAGGATTGTGGGCAGGAGCTGATGGGGACTTGTGGCCAGCCAGCTCCCAGCGAGGCATGGCCAGCTGCTGTCAGTGCCTGCGGGCAGGCTGTGGCTGAGGCTGGCTTGAGGGGCCTCTCACTCTGAACGTAGAGACTGGGAGGAAGCTGGAGGCCTACTGGGAACCTTTGCCACGTGCTGCCATGAGGCAGTTCATTTGCCATACTTTGGAGGCACTGCACTAGGCTATTACCTGAGTAGAGATTCTTCTCTTTAAGCTTTCTCAGTGAAGCTCTTCTAATTTATAAAAAGAAGTAGCACTCGTTGAGACAAAATGAAAGAGCCTGTATCCTAGTAGTCAGTCAGAGTATCTAGCTCTGGTGCCCTGGAACATGTGTACTCTATGAGACCCAAAATCCATCCGCATTCCCAGCCTGTAGTGATTTGTGATTCAGATGTGGTGTCTTGTGTTTAGCAGCTATCAGAAAATTTTTATTCCATAAATATGTGCAACCCCCTTTTTTGAAGCACATATATACAAGAAGATTTGCAGCTTAACTACCCTCTATGAGGAACAATCTCCTTTTGTTTGCTGTAGCCTTAGAACAGAATTCACGCTCCCATTCACATTTATATAAAAGCAAAACAACTTCAGCAGAGACATTGAGAGATACTTAAAGTATCCAATAGTCTAGTAAAGTAAGAGACCAAGGCTCAGTGTCTTACCTGTAGTAAACAGCAAGAACTTGAATATATCTCAACATGAACAGCGAGCCCTATATCCAGTAAGCTATTTATGCCTAGAGTTTTGTCTAGAGTACAGAAAGACATTGTGGCACCTTACAAATGAGTTCAACAATGTTGGCTTTGTGGAAGATAGAGCTCGTATAACTTCCATGCCCTAGGGCAGAGATAAAGGTGTGCTAGGGAAAATCAGAATATCTTAGGAAGAAGTGGTTTATTTTAAATATTTGCATATTGCCTTAGCTTCTCCTAATGACAATGGGAGCACTTTGTCCATCTGGTCCAGTATCTCAGCACACTAATTGTGCTCAATTAGATCTGCTAATTTAGGAAAGTTGATTACTTTTGCTGTTCCAGTGTAATGTGAACATTTTTGCTGTTCCTGAAAAATTTCCTAGGCTCTCAAAGCGCTGTTCCAGAATAGCTAAGTGATAGTACCAGACTAACTCTTGCAGCTATGTAGATCAGTTCCCCAGCGTAGAGAAGACCATAGACTACCCAAAATTCATTTAAACTCTCACTTAGCTGAAGCTAATTGACTTAGGTCAGCCGCCTTTTCCTCTAAGAGAGCTGCACTAATTAAACTTATCCACAAGGTGGTGATGTGCCACTGAAGGAATGTTTCCCCCCACTTTCTGTAACGAGAAGAGCAAACTGAGAGACAGCTAAAACAACGTAAAACGAGGCAAACCCAGGAGCTGGTGAGATATTTATTTCATCCGAACAGCATCACTACAATCTATCCTGCATACAACACTCCCCTGTGATGCATATGAAATATTTGTGGGGCATATATGGAAAGAAGTGCACATGGGATTGTTTTCATCTGTCTCTTACTGAGATTAATTTAAACATTTGCCCACCTGTGCTTGCAGCCTTTCTGTTTTGTTTAGCCCTCCCCTGCCACGTGCACAACCCTGGGTGCCAGAGCTAATTCCTATTATTGTACTGCTTGTTGAGGCAGTGAGGACTGTGTTATCTTTGACCATCATCTGGTAGATGGTGGTCATCCTACCTGGTCTCAAGGTAGGAATAATACACTTCCAGGGTTGTCTTCAGTTCCTGCAGTTTGAGTTCTTTCCCTATCATTTATTTTAGAAACACATCTTATTGTCACATCTCCTGCTGCTTGGATTTCGGGGTCAATCAGACACACTGCCACCAAACAGCTTCCCTCCAGAACTGGTGCAGGAAAATACTTTCTATAAAAAAAAATGCAGGTTTTACTTTAGCTTCTAGTAGCTACAGTAGTGGAAGGACATTCTGTTGTCTCCACATTTCTGCAAATTCCTGCACGTCTCTGACGTTCCCAGTATGAGAGAAAACACTGCAGGCAGGTCTAGGCCTAAATCAGCATGATGGAGATGAATACAGTGGAGCATGAAGACTATGAAAGAACTGGAAGAAATGCCAAAATGGAGTGTTGTTGTGGAGGAATGATGTAGCCAGAAGTTGATGGCAACAGGCAGAGCAGGAAGAGTTGTGGTGCCACTCAAAGCAGCCCTCTTAATGACCCATGTGCCAGGGCACTGTAAGGGCCATCTGCTCCCTGGAGACCAGACTCCATGGGTCTGTCGAAACAGGGCTGGCACCTCCTTGAGGACAGAGATGGGCCAAAATTGTGGAAAGTGGGACCACAGATGGGCCCATGGCTGGGCAGGGCAGGGCTGTGGGGAGCTGGAGACCAGCCCTACTGCAGTGTCACTGGGGCATGGGCTGACGTGGAGCAAGGTAGGGGGATTCCCAGGGGACTGGGCTAGGACAGAAAGGTCTGGTAGTGCCCTCAGAGCCTGAAACAAGTTTGGGAAGCCTTGGAGAAGGAGGTCTTTCAGAAAGAGAGGTAGATCCTGGTATAGAGGCATTTAAATGTCCGTGAAAGCCAAGAGCTGATGGAAGTGACTGTGACCTGTCAGACATATAGTGGGAAGCTCCAGAAAGAGGAGAAGAAAGAGAGAAGAAAGGGAATAAGCCTGTGAGATGACATGGGACAACTATGAGGGTCCGGGAAGCAGAAATGGTGGTGGCAAAAGGGGCCCGTGCTTAGCCAGATGTCAGAAGGACTGAGGAGGAAGCCTGAGGTCAAGAATGGGGAGTGGAGTTGGTGGGGCTGTGAAGGGAGGGAGGGCAGCAGGGAAAAGGGAATGGAGTCAGTTGGCAGGAGGAAGGAAGAGGCACAAAGCAGGTGTCATGTGTGGTGTTTAAGGCTATTTGAAATGAAAGCATTTGAACATTAGAACAGTGGGAAGCTAGAGGGCATTGCTTGCTGCTTCAGGTAGAAAAGGCAAACTCAGTATCAGATATGCAGAGAGTAGCCTACCTTTAATACTGGCACATCACAATCTTTCACATCTGTGCGCAGATATTGCATGGTCCTTTGGAATAGATAAAATTTTTTCTTTCTACTGAAAGGTCCATTTTCAGCCCTGATAGGCCACTGAAAGCTCATCTTAATCATTTACTGGCGTAGGGCTGATTGTTTCCCATCTTAGTGTGTAAGTTACATACTTTCAGGGAAAATAAAATGTATCTGTGGCAACTTCAGTTGAGAAGCTTTCTTTTAAAATGACTGCAACCTCTTGGAGCTGCTTGAAATTTGGGATGAGAGAATTAATCATATTTGATGGATTAAAAGGCACAGTGTGCATGATGGAATCAATGACACCATAAAGGTGACTCCAGCCAGATTTAGGTTTAGAAATAACCGCATGTACCTGCTGTGTACACCACAAAACCAAGCTTCCTGGTCCCTTTTAACCTCACTCATAGGCAGTCTATGCTGGTTGGGAATCTAGCCATAAACCAGCTTCCTCTGTAAGTCCTCAGCATAAAATTAGCCTTAGCACAAAGCCTTTCTAGACAGTTTGCTTTTTTACCAGGATAAGTAATGCACCTTTCTCACTAGCAACTGGACAATAAAATGTGACCACATATTAGATTTGAACATGTACAGAGTAGCTCCCAGTACTGTGTTGGTGCTGGGCATGTTGATAAAACACCTGCAAGGTGAACTGTAATAGCAATAGCAATGACACCAGTGTAAAAGTGGTGCATATGTGAATAAGTGAATAGGATGTGGGGCACAGAGAAATAAATGTTTGAAAAAAATGACACAAACCGGGCCTGCAAGCCATGCAATCCAGCAAAATCTATCACTAAACATACATCTTCAGTTGCTGGTGAAGCTAAAAATTGTTACCAATTTTTTGCACAGGTTACAGAGTATATTGTGTGAATTTCCACCACCTTATAACATTGAAAATCTCATTACCTGCTAAAGCTGTTCATTTCAGACCAGGTTCATTGTATGTGCAAAATAAAAAATTTAATGTTAGTCTTATCAAGGTCCCATAAAGGTATTCAAAGAACAATTTTTAGTCCATTTACAATTATCACTAGGACTTACAGTTCAAATTATATGTAGGTAAAATAAGAGCTATGCAAACTTCCTGATACCAACAGTTTCTCTAGTGTTACGTTTTA